GAATATGGTATAATTACCGCAGTGAAGTTATTCATCAAAATTGAAATTTAGATGTATCATCATTTTCAAAAAAAAAAAAAAATGAGAGGGCGAGCTTGTGAGCTGAATCACCTTGTAAGTTGTATAATTATATAAACGTATGCATATTGTAAGTTAACAATTTATTGTACAAATATTCTAAAAACTTAAATTTAAACAATTGCTATTTAAACAATCGCATTTCTTATAATATATTAACGTTAGTATGGGAAAAAAAATAATCCCTAAGGTAGAACATCTTATAAACCTACTACTTCCTCGTTTCCTGGTTAAATTACCAGAACTTCTTTAATAGATACACAAGTATATGCGTATACTCAATGCATATTTATTTGTTTATTACATGCATAATATTATATGCATTGGAATCGGATGTGTTAAAGAGTAGAAGACCTCGGAAGTGTGTGTAAAGCGTGTCAACGCTGTGAACCAAACATAATATATTTTCAGACGATATTAAAAACCCGAAGGTCAATCGCTGTTTTACCGTACACGATGTGTGTTATATAAATACCTATATATGTATATATTATACATTATATTATTGAATATTTTAAATGCGTGTTATTCTTGTTTTTGTTTTTTAACATTTTTGTTTTTATTATTCAAAATTAAGAAATGTGAATCCATATCTGGACAACATTCTCGAAAGATTACAGATTTAAATTCCAAATTTACTTTTACAGAAATCGTATGAGAGAGTAAACTATAAATACATTATTTCCTAAACTGATATAAAACATTACAATAAAATGCTTTAAACTGTTAAGATTTTTTAAAATTTTTTTTCCAATAATTACTTAATGTATCATTGTATCAAACGAATTATTAGCAGTGTATTGTTTGTTTATAAATGATTTTTCTCTCTCTCTCTCTTTATTTGATAAGGATATTTTGGTGTATAAAAATTATTTTATTATATTAGTAACAAGTTGAAACTTTGGATAAACATAAATTGGATCAATTGTTAATTGCAACATATTTTTAAATTTATCTAAAATTTAAAATACTCTGGTATATTTTATGGAGACGTTACATTTAAAAATGATAAATTAAATAAATATATATCATAAAACGCTAACCTTGTAAAAAAAGTATTTTTTTTTATTCTTTTATTGAAATATCAGCAAATATAGCTAAAAATGGTATTAAGATAATGATATTCGTTATCAGGAACAAGACTTGTTTGTCCATGAAAATCTAGAAATTAATTTAAAAATAAAAGGTAACTAAAAAATTATAGCTAGTAAAACACATTAATATAATAATATACCATTATATAATTAAGGCATAAATATTAATATTAATATGTTGGGAAGAAAAAGTAAAAAATTTACCTGTGATAGAAATAAAGTCTTATCAAGTTTAAATAAAAAACAATGATTCGATTTTATATTAAGTATACATTACAATCGTTATTTATTTAAATATATGTAAATAATTTAGCAATTTAACATCATATTATGTTTAATTACATAAGTACAAAATAAATGAACGGCAATCGTACATTTTTCTCCATAATAACATATTTTACTTAAAATTCTACTGTAGATGAATGCAATATATTTTAGTTTAAATCATATCATGTTAAAATGATTGAAAATGTTATAATATCTAGTCTATATTGTATAGGTACTTAGTAGTATCGTTTAAGCTGTTTAAATTCGTAATTTAATAATACAAATAAATTTCGTTTAATTCTAAAAGAGAAAAAAAAATATATACATATTAAATCGCATAATTAGATTTCTCTTTTGTAATTAACGATAAAATGTATGATACTATCATACTAATTTTAATGATTGGTCAATTATGATATATAAAATAATATTGTTAGTTATTACTTATTACTAAGTCATAATTGATTTTTTCGGAACAATTAATTTATTTATAATGGATATAATTCCGTAGATTTCTATTAGTTTTTATTTTAATATACCTATATAGGTATTAGTAAACTATTGTTGCTACAACAAGTAGGTTAGTGTAAGATTAAAAAAAAAAATGATATATTTTAAACAAAACAATATACAATAATATGTATTTATTAAACAATAAACATACATACTGATAGATGTTACCTCGTCGGTGTTTAAACAACGTAATCTCTATAAGCATCAAGAAGTATAACTGTAAGTACATTATTTAATGAATGTTTAAATCATAATCCTAACAGCAGATAAAACACATAATGTTATCATTATCATTGTGGTTATATGACAAAGTTAGTGGTATGTGTATAACGATAATATTAATATAATAATTATTATTAATAGTAAATATATTTAAATAATAAAGAAGATGCTATTATCACATTCTAACGCGTCTGATATAAGACATAAATGACACTGCGACACACAAGGTTACCTCATGTCCAAAGATGACCCAACCCAATGCGCAGCCAGCGGAGCATAATAAATCATAAAAATATACATGTCCGTTGAATACCGAAAAGCAGTGACTGCCACAAATCAAAATAACATCCTCAAATTCCTTCATCAATTCTCCGGCGATCAACAAACAAACTACTAAAACCCATCAATACAATAATTATTAGTATAGGTATCGTATTTAAGTTTCAGCAAATATGTTGATGTCGGGCCTTAACATTGTGCATTCGTATCATCTAATTACTATTGTTTGTGATATTATATTATTATTGTACTAAATATATGTAAACAATTATCTTAGAACGGCTTAGATAGCCAAAGCTTAATGCCAGCACTATTGATAGAAAAAAATAAAATAAATACTATTACGAGTATTTTAAATCATTATGTTTATAAAATGCATTGCGTATATATAATATTATAATGTCGACGTCTCAAGATGATGACAACTCGCGAGTTGTGGGGCGATTTCAATCAAATTCCCGAAATAAAGACAACATCATACAACATCACACAAGATTTAAGAGTAAAAGGTATTTCCGCGTCAAGAGTGTCCTTATAAACCTCGAAAATCGTTTGGAGATCCGAGAATCACGCATTTACATTTTACACCTAAAGCTGTAGGCGATCCATCATCGATTATAACAATATTGTTGTATAAACAAAATTCGTCTGACGGTCGTTTGATACAGATAACAAGGTATTACGAAAATCACTGATAAATTTGCGCTAAGAATCACGAACACGTGCGTGCCGTAATATATTATAATAATATATAGTCAAGGCGACAGATGTAATAATAATAATAGTAAAATCGTTATTATTATTCGATAGAAACGCGTTCGTTGTTGACTGTATTTTGCTAGTCATAAATATAATATATTACGATATATAACATAATATTTTAAAATAATATTATATACAAACTACACAGTCACATAACTGTTACAATAATATAAATAATATATCATTATTGCAGTGTGCGAATGACGCGTGATATATCGAAAACGAATTGCCTATTATGTTGCTACTGCGTTACGCGCGTGTGGGTCTCATAATAATTTACCCACATCAAATAATTGGGACCCGAGACAGAAATCGTGCGTATATATTACACATTATTTATTATAACCATATTATGCGCGTTGGTATTATTATCGAATTAATGTAATCATTATTATTATTCGTCGCACTGTCGCTCGCCTCGCGATTAATAGTTGTAAGGTGTACGATTTATATTTTATAAACGTACCTGTTGCGTAACCATATTATATTCATAATAGTTATTTGCGCGCGTACCTACCCATGATGTATACCTACTGTGCGTGGCGAACGATGCGATTTCTAAAATAAATAAATACTCGAAATTGGCGTGTGCGGACGACCGAAACAATTTCGACGATATTGTGTTGGGGATGGACTGCACGTGCGGCTGCAAAAATATTTAAAGTGTGTAATGTACTATACTTAACGTCTACTCTTAAAGCTCGAGAATTTCATTAAATTTATAAACGAAAAAATTCGTTTACTACTTTATCAGTTCATGCATAATATTATTGATCGTTGTACTCGTAGGTACACTTCAAGACATACAATTATAATGTACAGAATTTGACAAAATTTGACAAAATATAAAAGCAACACCACTTTTGGGGAAACGAATCCTTCAATAACAAGAACTTATACTTGTATTCAACTAAATATTAACATTTTAAATTTCAATTATTGCAAAAATGCAAAATATACCATTAGATAATTGTTATACTGCAAATATTGTAATGTTTACCAAATATTTAATTATTAGTTATTCATAAGTAGGTACCTTACACATTTTGTGTATAGAATTAGTTTTTTTGTTAACTTAACATGTTGTTGTAGTAATAATTGTTCACATAAATGTGATAAAAATATGTTTAAACTGTATTAAATAACTTACGTGTATTGATATCTATACGTATCTTCGGGACATAATTTAATGTCGATTAAATAATATAAACGCATCAACATGGGTATTACACTATTATATATCATATTTAATTTATAATAATAACGACTCTGGAGTCTGGACTCATGTTACAATATTATCATACTCCATAATATATTTCGTTACGCGAACGTGCAGAGCATACGTATATTTTTTCAGATAATTCGTGTGTTATCTTATAAAATATCTTGTAGGTATAAAATACAATATTATATTGTTAATATAATACCGAAATCGCGTTCCGGTAGTTGTCGCGATAGATGCTTAAAACTCGGCGACCTTGACTTTGGTCTAAGCTGCAATAATAAACGTATATATATATATAAAATATACTATATAGGTATAATATTATTCACTTGTAATACGATAAACCACAATTTATTATTATTATTATTATTATTATTATTCGTATCTACCTACCTGGCCAACCTATACTAGAGCACAGGCGTGCAGGAGAAAACAGACACCGCTTTCGTCCGTCCGTCTATATACCCGACACGGTAACCGCGGTATACGTATACCTCCACCGCTGACGCCGTCGCGTCGGACCTCGCAGGCACGTACAAAGCGCCGCTATATAAAGCCGGCCGGTCCGCCGTGGCCATCAACACTCGTCCGCCACACTCCGTCGCGTACACTCCAAGAACTCAATACGCTCTTCTCACCCGTAACAACACCCGCGTCGCAATGTACTGCAAAGTCTTGATCGCTCTGTGCTGCATGGCAGTGTACGCCGTGCACGCCAGTCCCGCGGGCACTGCCGCTGTTTCCGCCGACGACGAGATTAAGGACTTCCCGGCCTACATGAAGCGGTTCGACAAGCTCAACGTCGAACAGGTGCTGAACAACGACCGCGTCCTGACCAGCCATCTCAAGTGTTTCCTCAACGAGGGCCCGTGCGTCCAGCAGTCCAGGGACCTGAAGAGTGAGTGCGCCGAAAACGGCGTTATTCGTTGTATTCTATATAATAATTAATCATCTTCTAGGTATATGTATATGATATTCGAATGTATCTGTCTAAGTCGAGTTGTTCACAGACGTCGTCGTCTGTCGTGTGTCTTGTATCGTGTTCTGATTGGCTGTTGCAATTGTAGTATCGTTACATATAGCTGGTATCGTGGTGGTATACGTTCATTAACCACGATATGTTACGAAATTTCCAGATAGGATTGAGTTTCAATTTTGAAAGTGACACGAGAGATGGCTTAGCTATGCTTAATGTTAAACCTTTTTGCAATAAAAAAAAAAAAAATGTGTTTTCAAATTATGAAATTGTTTTTATACACTTATCGATATATTGGATATAGGTAGCTTTTGCTGACATTTTCGTACAATATCACATAAAAAAATATTAACATTCTATTATTATTATTATTATTGTTGTTGACTTACGTATTATTCAACGTATTTATATATAAAATTTAAATTACACGAAACGCGTTTTTTTTCGTTACGATTTATATGTTCAAGATTTCAAGTCTATATTTCCGACCGATCTCCAACTTATTCTTCATTTTACCAAAGTCACATTAAAATAAACTTCTATTTAATGCGTAGTGTAGGGGTGTTTTGGATAGGTACTGTTGTATAATATTATAAAAATAGTGACTTTAACGCGGCGAATCCTTTTTTCGTGGCAGTTATGCCGCCACAATTAATTCATAACGTGTTTTTTAGATCGTTGGTTTTATAACAATTATAGTAATTATTATCGTTGGTATGATATGTTTTATACTATACGCTCATTTAATGTTACGTTAAATTTTTATCATTTTTCACGTACATAGTTTGTTTTTGCATAGATTACCATTGCTAATTATTATGTTCCGAATCTGACATCCGATACGCCTATTGTGTAACGTCGTTTTAATATTATCACCCTGTGCCCAATCGGTCAGTCAGAGCATAATAATATTATTGCGATATTATTAGTCTAACGATCGTCGTAGCCCGTGAGTAAACAATAATACAGTATAACGACGTTATAATATTATTTCGCGAACACGTTATCGTAAGAAACTTACGTGCAAGATTATTATTCTAGGCATTAATATTATTCTCCGTCGGTTCTCGCAAAATTAATAATTATGCACTGCGTGTGATCGATGAACGTTCATCGATTACGAACGATAAAGTTTCCCTACGAAGTAATAATAATAATAATAGTAATATAAAAAACATTACTTACCCACGTATATTATTATCATGTTTTTAATATAATATCATGTGTTCCTATGCTCATTCGGAAGTTATATTTTATTGATTGATTGTTTTTTTTTCTTTTTCGGTACTTTTTAATAGGAGTCATCCCAGTGATCGCCAACAACGGCTGTAACGGATGTACCGAAAGGCAAATGACCACCATTAAGAAGGCGCTTAACTTCTTGAGGACGAAAAAGCCAACCGAATGGGAAAGACTTGTCAAGATCTACGACCCATCCGGCACCAAGTTGAACAAGTTCCTCGACGCGTAACGGCTCTGAATATGCTATAACAATGATATTATGACAACGCTATAATATATTAAAAATAATTATAGTTGAAATTTATTACACCACGTGTGTGACGACTGACAATGTCGTTCATGATAATATGTTTATGTTTAAGACGCACGTTTAATAGTTTTATGTATGCATACACAAGATTTCACTTATGCTGTATTGCAAAAAGAAAATCGTCTATTTATAAGTTTTTATATTAATTTATTACATTTATTGTACTGTTTTAAAAATAGAAAATAAAAACCATCTCAATTAAGAATGTTTAAAAAAAAAAAACTCTTTATTAACCTATAATGCTATAGCGTAGACTGATAGCGATTAAAAATCGCACAACACTACAATGGGCTTAACTACTGCTTTGTACGTCCGTCAAACCGATAATAATAATTATGTGATATCAAAGTGTGCAAATGTGTTAAGTTGCCTAATCGAATCGATCTTAAACATCTTAAACGGCGAATACGTTCTTTACAAAATATATTATATGCAATTATATTATTAAGGTAGCACGCGCTTAAAAAATTATCAATAATGATTTCAACACGACTGCAATATACCTATTAGGACTAAATCTTAATGTACTCATTCCTTCTAAGCTAAAACTTCTATTGGGTGATGGGGTGGTGATGGGGTTCAGTTTGTTTTATAATAATTATTACAAGATCAAAGATTATGTTCTTAAAATTAAATACAAATTTCGATTGTATTAGTTTGATTTTCAAGTTTGTTTTAAAGTGATTACATGAGTTGGGTCCACGTGACAAGCGTATTTTAATAATTTGTTAAAAATCAAACAAATTTGGTATAGGTCATAGTAGATAATAGATATAGTATTAATAATAGTCTCTCATTGTTCATAGCCCAGTCTATTAATTTTACCATAACCACGAGGAGGGTTTGACTGACTGGAATGTCTCCAAAAAAATTTAAATTCATGATAAAATATAATCGAACATTTCATAGTTTGAACATATCGCTATATATGTTAAAAAGATAATACAGTGCACTTAATACTTACATATTGAGTAATGAGTATATATTATTATCGAGTACTTGAACTTAAATTTAATATCTATTTATAATGTATAAATTATAAATGAATATTGTCTGAAGATATCGTACGAGTACTTATCTGCGTATAACTTACAAAATCGAATTGACAATAGGTGTATTAATCAACGCACGGATACTAATACTTATTGGAGTTATACACTTGTAGGTTACGTAGGTATATTATTTTTATCGCATATAATCGCAAATTAAATTCCGACAGACTGTTAATCGCTGTTGAAGTCTTCTCTTATCAGACCGACTCACTCGCGTCATATTGAAATTTTAATTAGTATTTTTTTTAACTGTCGTTGAACATAATATTTTAATATTAAAGAAATATAATTTTCAATTAAAATCTTTTTTTTTCTATGATTATTTCATCGTATGCTATTCTATAAACTCGTATACCTATATAGGTATATAGTTAAAATTGATGATCTTAAGAAGTGAAGACATCGTTATTATAATAAGTTGAAGTAAAATTTTTATCTTTTCTCCCTCCCCCCTCCCCCAAGTATCAAAAAACGAGATATTCTCATATATTTATAGACCTTATATCATATGAGGTATACCGAAAATACGCTTAACACACAAGTCGTGTATAAAACGAAAAAAACTTAACAGTTAAACTTTACGCAATAACACATGTCATAAACACATGTAAATGATGGTTCAGAAAATTGTGCACGTAAACACGCGTGACATTAATGAGTAATAATAATAATAAATATGTATAGATATCGTGGTCGAAAGACGGTTTAACAAATATTGTATTGTAATAATAATATAACAACACTTACGTAATCGACTAGGCCTCGTGTAATTCGCGGTTGTTTTTGAACTTGCGCACGTGTATTAAACAAAATATTGAAAATAAAAAATAAATCTATATTGTATTAATAATAATTGCACTGGTTTATCGCGTGATGACCTAGCTGAACAAAATATGTATAGCACTTTTTAAGAATGATAATTTTTAGCGTGTGACCTACCCGATTTTCAACTATCTCCGGTCGAGATAAACAATACTGATATTGGTATTAAAATAATTTGATAACATTATAAGCAACCTCCAAAAGAGTTATTAACAGAGTATTGGGTGGTTTATAAACTGTAAAACGCATTTAGAACTGATGTAATAAAGTATTTAATGTTTTCTCCGTTAAATAGAAAAAAAAATATTGAATCATACATATCTTTTTGTAGTTGCTGTTCTAATGTACCTAATAAATAAAGCTCAAAACAAATTTTAATATTTTAGAAAAATACGGTTTATTATCACGTAATGAAAAATACTTTTAATTTATTCGTTAATGTTTGGTTTTCATTGCAACTGTAACACTAAATAGCATATGTGAAATCTTTAAAGTAGGTATATAAGATCTATGACATAATCTAATTACAATTGATTGATAAAATTGTGATTTTTGTTTAATTAAAAAAAAAAAAAGTTATGTGAAGCTCAAAAATATGATATACTCGTGTATTATGTTAAAATAAAAATTTTGCAAACTAGTTATAGTGTATTATGTGTTTTTTTTTTTTTTTTAATGATATACTTGTATGTTATATTAATATATAATACCATTGGACTTGAAACTCGGCCGGTATCTGTAGAAAAATAAAAAATAGTTAAATAATAAAAATAAAAATATATTATATTATTTTTATTTTAAATAATTTTTAAATTTTAAACATAATATCAAAAATTAAATAACTGTTGTATGTGGACGAATGGTAAAACTATGTTACCTATTGCGTATTCGATATGTATAATTTATATTAGTTCTGGTAAAAATAATAATATTTATTTAAGTATTATTATATTAACTGGAAAAGTTATTCATAATTCGATAGTATATTAAAAATCCAAGTATTTTAAGTTTTTTAATTTCTCAACCATTTTTAGTTATACTTGATTATGATTTAGATTTAACTAGATTATGCTCATTATTAATATTTGACTTAGATAAATTATTATGTATATAGTGTATTGTCTTTTATTTAAGTTTTGCATTGCTAATATAATATTATCGATATTGCTATAAAATTACGGAAAAATGGAAAACATTTTGACTAAACCTTCCTCTTTCCAATAAACTTATAAATGTAAAACTAAATGTTAAAAAATTAAAGTACCCTACTAACATTAAAAAAAGAGATGAAATAAACATCACCCGAGCTAAAATAGGCCATTTTCACCTAACCCACGCATGCTTCATCAACAAGGAACCAGCACCAGTATACGACACTTAAAAGAAATATTAACGATAGAACACATAATCATAAACTGCTCCAAATATAGAGAAGCACGAAAGAAACTCAGCAATCCTCTCACACTTCACCAAGCATTCAAAGAAGAAAACACCACTGAAATCATCAAAGTTTTTCACAATGTAAATCTAAGCCACAAACTATAAATATCATGTTTTTCTAACCCCTAGATATATTGTACATTAACTCCTAAGCTAGCAATCTTTGTAATTGAAACTTTTACCATTAATAAAAAAAAAATATATATATATATTAACGATAAATGTTTTCTAGAGCACGTACGTTTTTATATATGTATAAAATATTACTATATAAATATATGATTATATGTAACAATTACTGATGAAGTTGAAGCATATTAGAAAATAATACAACTGGTTGGATAAAAAAATTGAAAACCGAAGAAATTATAATAGGTAGGTAGGTACTGCAGTATTACGCACTTTACATTGGTACGATGACCTAAGTTCAATGTACTACAAAATATATCATCCTTATATCATTAATTAAGTCGTTATGTAATGTATAAACTGTATATTATATTAAGTAATGTTGCGTCCAATGGACATATATGCCGTGGAAAATTTATCCAATGAAAAAAAGAATGTATCATCGTGGTCCGTGAGTAAGGATTTGATATTCTAAACTTGAATTTTTTATGTATACGTATATGTGTATACGTAATAAAATTAAAGGTAGCCTTGCAATTCAAAACACAGCTTTTCACAGTATTACGTGATAAATATAATATTTTATATTACTATTATTAGATATGAATCAAAAGTACAGATGAATAAACAACTGGTGGAGCGAGAGAGATTTGGTTATATAAAATATGTGCAGAATAAACTAAAATATATGTTTCTGAAATTATTCCACACCGATATTACTGCAAAGATAATAGATATGAAGTACGTGAGTGTCGTCGACTACAATTATTTCGGTCGACATTTTTTTCAATGTTTTTCCACGAAAATATGATGTGTCAAAATCAAATAACACTTGTGTACTATTTATAAATAAATTATTGATTTATCTTTTAATGTAAATTTTGATTAATAATGCTACTTTACGTTTACCTAATTTAAATTTAAATACTAGTACAGTCAAGTTTAAAATGTACCTATTATTTGAATCATGATAAATTTTATTATTATACAACTTTTGTGGAATATAATATTTACGATTTTCATGAAATAATAATATTGAAAATAATATTTTATAAATATTTGAAAATTGAGTATTACCAATATGCTTAATTAGTAATTATACGTATATTGTTGTATCTGATATTAGTGTGCTGTTCAATCATATCAAATATGCCATGGATTGACTACTTCTTATACGTATGCAACGTTCCTTGAGAGTTTCAAGTAAATACCATGAAATCGTAATAAACCCACACATAATTTTACACTTTCGTACTAGATTTTTTTTTTTACAATCATATTAGTTTTGTTAGCTTTCTATAATATAAGCAAGATACCTGCAATTTCCTGTATGTATATTATAAAGAGTGTAATAATGGGCTAATAAGATCGGTTGCTGTCTGCTCTTGTTTATTATTTATTTTACGTGTAAAAGATTATCGTATAAATTTCTAAGCCAAAACTTAAATTAAAAAATAACTCTCTTTTATACAAGATAAAAAAAAAATGTTTAGTTTTAAAAATTATTTTTATAGTAAAAAATACGTAAATAAGTGTTAAAAAAAAATGCCAATCAAAACATTTTGATTTCTTCCTGGATTGTCTCTCGAAAATGTTTTAATAATATTATCGAAATTTACTGTGAAAATTTGATGTATTTACATCTCACATGGTATTTATTTTTTTATGCCAATGATGGTGATAAAAATATTCTTAAGTATAAAAGTAAATAACAAAATAATATAATATAATATTAATCGTAAGAAATAGGTAAGT